TCGGCATTTTTCAGTACGTGACTGACAAAGTAGACCGGGAGCTGACAGCCGTCCCTTTCAGCAAGGAGAACAGCGCTTAACGCATGATCAGAGACGGCCAGGTACATGTAGAGAACCTCTTTGGGCAAAGGGCTAACCAGCCTCGGCAAGGAATGCAAGTGAGCTTTTAATTTTTGGAAAGCGGCCTCAGCATCCGACCCCCATTCAAACCTTGCCTTTTTCTTAATTGCCTGGAAAAAGTATAGGCATTTGTCGCCTGATCGGCTTAGAAATCTTCCCAAGGCTGCCAGACAACCTGTTAACTTCTGAACCTCTCGGATGGTACAAGGCAACTGCATGTCAATGACCGCCTGCACCTTCTCAGGGTTCGCCTCTATTCCTCTCTTATTGATAAGGAATCCGAGAAATTTCCCAGACTCAACTCCAAATACACATTTCTTGGGATTGAGCATGACATGGTGCCGCCTGAGTGTGGCGAAAGTTTCTCGGAGGTCCGACAGATGATCTTTCTGAAGTTTAGTCTTGACAATCATATCATCAATGTATGCCTCGACGTTTCTCCCAATCTGATCAAAGAACACAGTGTTTATCATTCGTTGGAAGGTAGCCGGGGCATTCTTAAGACCAAACGGCATGACCGTGTAACAGTATAACCCCTGATCAGTGACGAAGCCGTCTTCTCCTGATCTTTCTTCCATAAAGGAATTTGATGGAAACCAGAATAGGCGTCCATAAAACTCATCAAGGCATGGCCGGCTGTTGAGTCGACCAGGTTATCAATTTTAGGCAGAGGGTAACTGTCTTTGGGGCACGCCTTGTTTAAGTCTGTGTAGTCTACACACATTCGCCAGGTGCCATTCGGCTTTTTAACAAGCACCACATTTGCAACCCAGTCTGGGAAGTAACATTCCCGAATGAACCCTGCATCAAGTAATTTTTTAACTTCGGCGGCTGCCGCCTGACTTCTTTCTTCGCCATGGTTCCGCTTCTTTTGCCGTACCGGCTTCTTTTTCGGATCCACGGCGAGTTTATGTACCGCCAGATCAGGACTAATGCCTGGCATTTCATGGACTTCGAATGCAAAGATGTCCTTGTATTCTTTCAATAGGTTGTGAAAGTCGTCACCAAGGTTTCCCAGAGCAGTCGTCCCAACTTTGACTGTTCGGTCAGGACGTGAGTCGTCTAAGACCAGGTCCGTATGCTCACCAGCCGGCTGAGGACGGAACTCATCCGGCCGCTCCTCTGCCAATGATTGCTATTTTCTTGCTTTTCTTGCGGCCCCTGTCTGGGATGCCTTTCTCTTTTTGCCGCCTGCTTCTTGAACAGGCGCACTCTCCTTGACATTGTCAAGGTCTGTTTTTTCACCGCTTGACCCAGTGGCCATAACAGTGGGCTTGACATCCGAGAGATAGCACTCTCGGGCCATCCTCTGATCTCCCCTTAGGGAGCCGACTGTTCTATTATCCCTCTCAAACTTGAGCAACATAAGAGATGGGATTATAACAGCCTTGGAATTATTCAGGGTTGGTCGACCAAGAATCATGTTGTAGGCCGAGAGTTCTTCTACTTCTAGGAACCGGACTACCATGTGTCGTCCTTCCCCTTTTTCGCCCAGGCGAATGGGTAAATCTACTCGTCCCAGTGGGTGGACGACTCCTCCTCCAAACCTTACTAAAGGGTGGGAGGCCGGATGTATGCAGTCAGTCTGATATTTCAGTTTCGACAGACATTTGCTGCTGATGAGATCTGAGGAGCTCCCGGTATCTATGAGGATTCGGCCAACTCTCTGGTTGGCCACTTTACATTCAATAACGAGAGGGTCGTCATGCGGCCCCCTTACCCCTCTTAGATCTTCTTCAGTGATGACAATCTCAGGAAATGTATATTTGGACGGTCGTTCTTGGTGAACGGAATTTACATCTAACCGCCTTATATTATCTTTGGTGCCCCTAATAGTGGGGCCGCCTCCTGAGAAGCCGCCTGCAATGGTGTAGACGACTGCATCATCTGTATCGGAGCTGTCGGCCTGTTGATTCTTTTTGGCCGACTGCTTTTTTGAGGAAGTGTTCCCCGTAGATTTCTTGACATAAGTGTCAAGATCACCTTGCTCAGCCAGGCGGTCTAGGTACCGCATAAGACTGATGCAGTCATTGGTGTGATGACCAACGTCATCATGATAAGCACAGATTTTATCTTGGTTCCGGTTGTTTGCAGAACCCTTCATGGGGACCGGCTTCTCAATTGAGATCCGTCCCTTGATTTCTTTTAGGATAAACTGGTTATCCTTGTTAAACGCATACTTTGGGGAGTATGGTTTGAATTCTTTTTTCTTTTTCTGGGTCGGCTGTTTAGAGGAATCTGCCGCCCAGACCTCTTTTCTTTTCTCATCTTTGTTTGACGACTGTTTCTGTCGTCCTTCTCTTTTGTCGAACCTTTTCCCGTCCGACTGTTTTATCGTACAAAGATCAGTCGCCTGTATATAGGCTTCTGCTTCAATTAAGGCCTCTTGAAGAGTCGCCACCCTTTTTCGAACCAAATCAAATTTGAAGGTAGACCCGTCTTTGAGACCTCTGAAAAAGTCAGTATAAGCTACCTCATCCGGTAACCCTTGAATCTGTATTCTCATCAAGTTAAACCGCCTGATGTAAGAACGAAGCCCCTCCTTCTCGCCCTGCTGAATTGTTCCCAAATCAAGGGTCGTTTTCTTCGCAGGGATGTTCATGGCGAAGTTGGAGGCAAATAAGTAAGCAAGCGTCCTGAAGCTATTTACACAACCAGTCGGCAGGTTGTCGAACCATTGCTGTGCGATTCCTTTGAGAATCGCTGGGAAACACTTGCACCAAGTGGGATCATCCAACCCTTGAAGGTACATCAGGTTGGTGAATGTCATCAGATGGTCTTCTGGGTTAGTAGTGTCGTCATAAGCGCCTACTAGTACATTTTTCACTTTGGCCGGCTGAGCGGCTTCAGTAATTTCCTTGGAGAAGGCCGACGGCTGTTCACCAAGTCTAAGCAACCGTAGTTGCCAGTCCATAGGTTGGACGTTTTTTGCTGCAGGTCCACCAAATGGAGGTGGTTGCATAAAATACTGTTGTTGCGGCACAAATGGTAAGTTTGGTACCGCCTGGGCACTATGAAAGCCGGACTGACGGGAGGTGCCGCCTGACTGACTCTCATGGTACGACTGAGTATGCCTCATCGAGGCATTTCGCAAACTGTCTTGTAAGTTTGAAGTAGAGGCCGACTCTGACAATCGGTCACTCTTCTTCTGCTCTAGCAGTAGCCGAGCATCTGTGAATGTTTGCTTCGACCCGTCCGCCTGAATATGACGAACAGGTTTCCTATTTCCTGTAGGATAACGAAATTTTGTGAAATCAAGGGCAGGTGGCTCCCGCTTCCTAGATTTAGGATGAGGAGTCGCCTCTCGCCCTTGAACTGGCTTCCTCTTCAGTGAAGTGGAGGGTTTCTTGGCCGACTGCTCCTTGACTGGAGTAGTCGACTTCTTGTTGATCAACTCTTGAATCTCTCCCTTGAAGTCCCTCATGAAGGTCATGAGTTCGTTCCTTGTGATGGGAGCAGACCCATCAGTCGGCTGTTGCCGAACAGGCGGTGCGCCTGCTGGCTCGCTTCCTGTTTGAAGATGCTCCCGTTCCCTCCTTTCGGTATGACGGGTAAGTCGGGCCCTTAGGGTCCCGTCTGAAGCTGTATGAGCTTCAACTTCAAATTCACTTTCGGTATCATGGTCCGACTGAACTTGAGGGTCGTCTAGGGGACGCCTCTCTTCAGGAGTCGGTACAGACTTGGATGCCATCTCTGAAGTACTCTCCCCACAGACGGCGCCAAATGTTTCGGGTTTTTCTGATGTCCTGCGGGAGAGTTACAATTCCGAGACTGGAACCGGACGCCTGTACCTGCAAAATAACGGAGACTCCTGTGAGCTCCGCCTCCAACGGTCAAGTTAGTACCTGATTAAGGAGTAATTTATGCGGAAATTAAAGTAATAAGGTCTCTCTAGGTGAGAGTGTTTAATGTAGGTAATCTGCTTTGCTAGCGAGATCAGCCGGTTATTACTGTGTGTAATTAATGTGTTTGTTCCGTAATGTTCTTGTAATCCCCCTTAATGAGGATTAAGGGAGGTATTTATAACCTTGGGAAACGTGCCCATCATAGGTTTAGGTAAACCTAGGGCCGATTGGGCTTCCCTCGGAAATTGGGCCTGGGTGGCCGGTTTCTCCATTAGGCATGGAATATGCCACATGTCGTGACATAACAGGTCCAAGGTGGACGAATAAGCGCGTGCCACGTGGCAAGCCCTGACAGTTCCAACCAGGGGACACTTGGCAGGACCTGATTGGTCCACGTGGCGCATTCCGATTGGTGGGAGCAAAATCCCCTAATCAGGAAAAGTTTTGTTTTATAAAAAAAAAAAAAAAAAAAAAGAGGGAAAATGGATTTGCCACTGGTTCTAACCAAACCGGTGGGAAAAGTATGTTTCTCGCACCGGTTCTAACAAAACCGGTGGGAAAAGTGTTATGAAATTAAAAAAAAAACCGCTTATATTCTTCTTTCTTTCTCCTTCAATTCCTTGATCTTTCCTCCTCTCTCGTCTGCGCTACCTCTCTCTCCTCTCCCTCTCCTCCATTAAAACGAACCTCTCTGTACTCTTTCCTCTCTTTGTACTCCTTCATATCTTTCTCGTCGTACTCCTTCCTCTCTCCCTCGTCCATTTAAGCGTTTCTCGCTGTACTCTTTCCTCTCTCTCTCCTCCATTTAAGCGTACTCGAAATTCTCCATTGAAGGGGCTTATGAGCTTTCTCTCCTCCATTGAAGCAGTCTCTAAGGTTAGATGCTTCTTTTTCTTTAATCATCTAATATTAATTTTGACAATCTAGTGTTAATCATGTATTTAATTGTTAGTATATACTCAATTTAGGGTTATTTGAAGTTGGAAAATTGAACTATTGGTTATACAAAGTCGAAGAATTTTACGTAATTTTTGGAGTCTAGTTTGATAATTGAGTCAATTTTGGTTGCTAATTTGTGAATTTTAGTTTATTTATTTTATTTTATAGGAAAAACACAAATTCACAAATTCTGGGGGTGGGGGAATGGTTTCAGGGGTAGAGTTTCGAGTCTACGGCAGTTTCGGGTCAGGGAAAGGGGTGGGGGTTTCTGGTGGGGAAAGGGATGGGAGTTAGGGTGGTTTCGGGTTAAGGAATTCAAGTTTTGGGCGGTTTCGTTGGTGGGGCTGGGGCGGGGGGTCTATTGCGCTTATGTGGCTCTGGAAGGAGGGTGGTTTTGGTGGTGGTACAGGGGGAGGGGGTGGCTGTCGGGGCTGGGTTGGGGAGTGGTTGTTGGGCTGAAACGCAGTCATGAGATAGACAGGAGAATAGGGTTTTGGGAGGGTTGAAGGTGAAGGATGTTGTTAGTGGGGAGGTTAAGGATGTGCAGGTTTCTTATTTTTCGGTGTTTAGAGAGACATAAAGAGCAATGATATAAATCGAAATGATGACCGGATTACGGAATGCACATTGTGGATTTGTGGTACAATCGTATAAGTGTTGTGATATGTTTTGTTGATGATGTTATCAGGGAGATGATTTGTGTGTTAGCTACTACTACATTGACAGTGAGCTCAATGCTTATGCCATATCTTCTGCTCAGGTCAACTGCTTAGCTTGCTTATCTATTTTTATACAACTATTGTACGAATACACAAAGGAAGTACGGAATTATGTTGAGTACATTTGATAATTCGGCTCCATGGAAAGTCGAAAAACCTTTAAACTGTTGCCATGCTTCGGTGATTGTAAGTTGTAATTGCTCTGTGTAAATGGATCATTTTGTAAAAAAAAAAATAAAAAAATAAAAATAAGTTGTTTGGATGAACTATTTTAATGTTAATTTGTTTTATGGAATGAGCGTTACCCTTGGCCCTAAATCTCCAAGACGATACAGAAAAAGTGTCAGTGGGATGTCTTTGTGGATTGACGGCTTTAAGAGAAGTAATGTTGTTTCTACATCTGGTATACTTGAGTTTGCTTACAGGTTTGCTTTCCGAAATTTACTTAAGTTTTTAGTGACAATGTTAAAATTATTCCGTTGAGACATTAAAAATAAGGAATTGGCAATCCTCTTTATGTGATCATAGGGACAAAACCGAATTGGGTAGTGAAGATGAGAAATCTTATCAGTCCGATCAGTGCCATTTTTATAGATTGATCAATGGATTTTGTAAATGTTGCTAACAAATCAATTATGTTTCATAACTTGATGCTTGAATCTTGGTGTTTATTACATATATGCTGCTGTTTTGATTCTTTGTAATTTACGTGAGAATCGTAAAAGGAGGTATTAATTGCTTTCTTATGGTAATAAATAATTGTCATAGTAGACCTCATTACAGCTTATAATGTCATATTACTGTGTTTGGCTGGTGTCATTGCTTTGCTAAGAATGTATAATTCAAGTATAATTTACATCTTAATATGATTTTTGGTCTCAGTATCTCAAGTGCTCTCTTTCTCCACCCTCTTTGTCAATCTATCCTTGTTGGAGAGTAATTTCTTGTAGATTCAAAGCATGGTGAAACTACTGATATGAACAGAACTCTGATTGCACTTTACTTGATGACTATAAGAGTATAAGCTGGCTACTTCTTTTGTAGGGATTTGCAGAAGGCGACTCAGAATTTCACAACATTGGTTGGCCAGGGTGCATATGGTCCTGTGTACAAAGCTCAGATGTCAACTGGTGAAATAGTTGCTGTGAAGGTGCTGGCAATTGATGTCAAAGCAAGGGGAGCGAGAATTTGACATAGAGGTAATGTCATATTTTAATCAGTGCAGCTTATTAGCGGCAATATAATCTATACCAAGGTTCATCCTTAGATGTCCTGTGTGGTAGACAAGTTGCTGTCTCTTTTTATGCTGTAGTTATTTTGCTGATTGATTCTTGATCTCACCTTCTTTTTTGCATGCTCTTGTTTCTCAGGTTAAGCTGTTAGGAAGGTTGCATCACAGGAACCTCTTGAATTTGCTTGGATATTGTACAAAGAAGGGTAGTATCCGAATTGGGTTGAAATTTGTTGTGAAATAGAACTATAGGACTTGAATTACAATCTTGGGTTGATTATTCCAGTTTTAGGTGAGCTGCCATCGGCAATGAGGACAGCAGCTTGGGTGGGGAAATGGCATTTGATACTACAAAGACAAACACCATTGCCACCAATGTCACTGTGCTCTACTCTGCATCAGTTTTGCATTCTTGCCACCCTTGAAGTCCTGAGTTCTATTAGTTTTTGTATACTGTCAGACAGCATATGTTAATATTTATATGTCCAAAAATATATATGTTAGTGTTTATATGTCCATTTTTTTTTTAGTTTTTTAAAGTGTAATATTACAAGTTATTGAGGCAAATATATGTGTTTTATGTATATTATGATTATATATACGTATTTGGTACAATTTAAGTGAAAAAAATGCAAAAAAAAAAAAAATTAATTTTTTGGGGCATTTTTGCCACCGGGTCAGTGTGAAAATCAGTGGGAAATGTTATAGTTTTGCCACCGGTTCACTTGAAAACCGGTGGGAAAAGTCCTCCAGCTATAAGATAAGTCACATGTTTTTGCCACCGGTTCACTTCAAAACCGGTGGGAAAAGTGGTTTTTGCCACCGGTTTTGAACCCGTGGGAAATCAAGAACGGTTCAAAACCGGTGGGGAATGAGTGGTTTGAACCGGTGGGGATTGGGGTTTTTTGCCTAGTGTTTGCTTGAATGTGTTTGACTTTCATTTGATTCAATTAGCTTTGTAGAATGCATTTGACTTTCATTTGATTTGAAAAGCTTTGTTTGAATGTGTTTGACTTTCATTTGATTCAATTAGCTTTGTTGAATGCATTTGACTTTCATTTAATTCAAAAATCTTTGTTTGAAAATGTTTGACTTTCATCTGATTTAAATAGCTTTGTTTAATTGTGTTTGATTTTCATTAGATTCTTTTTTTTTTTTTTTTTGAAAAGGTAAGAAAATTATTAATACCAAAAGACGAGGGACAAGCCCTCAAGTACAACCCCAGACCTAGGAGAGACCACCTTCTAGGAAGGGTGCCTCAAAGCTAGGATGGGCTAGGCACAAAGTTGGAAGGCACAACAGCCCATAAGTTCTAGCACAAAGCAAACAAACCAAGACAAACTAAAAAAAAAAAAAAAAACAAAGCTAAAAGGCCCAAAACAAAAGGGCCTATCGAGGAATACAACTTCTAAGCATAAACAGCCATTTACAATGCTGTTTTTTCCACTTACTACCAATATTTTGCTGAATTCTGTCAACAATCTCTGTGCACATTTTAGTGCATAATCTTCTCGGAGGAGGAACAGCAGCATTCCAGAAGGTGTGATTCCGTGCATACCAGAGGTAGTACACCAAACCAGTAAGGACAGCAAAGCCCACCTTTCTCTTAATAGGGTCTTTAAACAATTTTTTCCAACATTTCCAGGTGCTGTTAATATCAACATGATTATCTGAAATCTGCAAGAAATGACAGATAATATTCATACATCTTCTGCTGTAAGGGCAGTTGAAAAATAGGTGACTATGATCTTCCCTCTGATCTCCACAAAGATAGCAAGTAGCAGAGTCACTAACACCTATTCTCAGTAATTTATCTCTTGTTCTCAGTCTGTCCAAAATAGCCATCCAAGCTATAATAGAATGTCTAGGAACATTGTAATGATTCCAGATCCAGCTATCCCAATCTATAGTCTGTGAACCTCTCTGTAACCAGGCATATCCATCTGAGATAGAGTACTTCCCCTCTTTCCAGTGTTCAGAGTCAAAACCATCCTTTAACTCATCCTTAACACAGCAGATCCTCTTCCAAGCCTAGCCATCAGCTTTCTTGGGGACATAGGACCACCAATTAGTCTCTTTCAAGTAGACATTGTGGATCCATTTAACCCATAATGAGTCTTGTTTCTGAGCCACCTTCCAAACAAACTTGCCTAGGGTAGCCTTATTCCACAGCTCACAATCTCTGATCCCCATACCACCAGTCTTCTTAGCTTGACAAATCCAACTCCAAGCAACAGGAGGGCATTTAGACAATGAAGCTGACCCACACCATAAGAATGCCCTGCATAGCTGATTTATCTTGTTAATGACTATCTTGGGAAACAGAATACATTGTGCCCAGTAGGTGTGTAGGCTCATAAGAACAGAATTTATGAGCACACTCTTGCAGCATAAGAAAGGTTCCTACTGGACCACCTAGTCATCCTAGCCAGCATACTGTCAATTAACCCATCAAAATCACTAACCTTCATGTATCTGCTATTCAAAGGTATACCCAAGTATTTAAAAGGCATACAGCCTTCCACAAACCCCGAGTGATGTAAAATCTCCTTCTTAATATCAGGATGAACATTACCAAAATAGATGGCAGTCTTATCAGAGTTAGCTAGCAACCCCGAGACCTTTTCAAACATTTTCAGAGCTCTTGTAAGATAGCTCACTGATTTTTTATCCCCATAAGCAAAGAGCATTAAATCATCAGCAAACACCAGATGATTAAGTTTCAACTGTTTGCACCTATAGTGAAACTTGAAACCCTTCTTGTGCCATACCTTCCTTAGCAGCCTGGTTAAATACTCCATTACAATCACAAAGAGAAGAGGAGACATGGGATCTCCCTGTCTCACACCTCTCTTACCCGGAAAGAAACCATGCATACCCCCATTTAGAAAGATGGAATAAGAGGGAGAGGTCACACATTCCATAATCCAGTGAACAAGCTGAGTAGGGAAACCAAAACAGCCTAGCATATCCTCAATAAAGCTCCAGTAAACTGAATCATAGGCTTTTCGAAGATCAACCTTCACAATACACCTAGGATACTTCCTTTTATTATTATAATCTTTAAGAATGTCTTGACAAATAAGCACATTGTCTAAAATTGACCTACCAACAATAAAAGCACCTTGGGACTCATCAATTAGCACAGGTAACACCTCTTTCATCCGAGAGCACAACATTTTCGAGATAATTTTGTAGAGAACATTACAGCATGCTATTGGTCGAAACTTTCATTAGATTCAATTATCTTTGTAGAATGCAATTGACTTTTATTTGATTAAATTAGCTTTGTTGAATTTATTAGACTTTAATTTGAATCAAAAAGCTTTGGTTGACCGTGTTTGACTTTCATTTGATTCAATTAGCTTTATTGAATGCATTTGACTTTTATTTGATTCAAAAAGATTTGTTTGAATGTGTTTGACTTTCATTTAATTCAATTAGCTTTGCTTGAATGTGTTTAACTTTCATTTGATTCAATTAGCTTTGTAGAATGCATATGACTTTCATTTGATTAAATTAGCTTTGTTGAATGCATTTGACTTTCATTTGATTTAAAACGCTTTGTTTGAAAATATTTGACTTTCATTTGATTTAATAAGCTTTGTTTGAATGTGTTTGACTTTAATTTGATTCAAAAAGCTTTGTTTGAATTTGTTTGACTTTCATTTGATTCAATTAGCTTTGTTTGAATGTGTTTGACTTCCATTTGATTCGTTTAGCTTTGTAGAATGCATTTAACATTCATTTGATTCAATTAGCTTTGTTGAATGCATTTGACTTTCATTTAATTCAGAAAGCTTTGATTGAGAATGTGTTTGACTTCCATTTGACTCAATTAGTTTTATAGAATGCATTTGACTTTCATTTGATTCGAAAAGCTTTATTTGAATGTGTTTGACTTTCATTTGATTTAAATAGCTTTGTTTAATTGTGTTTGACTTTCGTTTGATTCATTTAGCTTTGTAGAATGCATTAAACTTTAATTGGATTCAATAAGGATTTATTTGAATGTGTTTGACTTTCATGTGATTCAATTAGCTTGAATGAATTCATTTGACTTTCATTTGATTCAAAAAGCTTTGTTTGAATGTGTTTGACTTTCATTTGATTCAATTAGGTTTGTTTGAATGTTTTTGACTTTCATTCGATTCAATTAGCTTTGATGAATGCATTTGAGTTTCATTTGATTCAAAAAGCTCTATTTGAATGTGTTTGACTTTCATTTGACAAAATTAGGTTTGTTTGAATGTGTTTACCTTTCATTTGATTCAATTAGGTTTGTTAGAATGTGTTTGACTTTCATTTGATTCAATTAGCTTTGTTTAATGCATTAGAATTTCATTTGATTCAAAAAGCTTTGTTTGAATGTGTTTGACTTTCATTTGATTCAAATGTGTTTGACTTTCATTTGATTAAATTATCTTTGTTGAATGCATTAGACTTTAATTTGAATCAAAAAGCTTTGGTTGACTGTGTTTGACTTTCATTTGATTCAATTAGCTTTATTGAATGCATTTGACTATCATTTGATTCAAATAGATTTGTTTGAATGTGTTTGACTATCATTTGATTCAATGACCTTTGCTTGAATGTGTTTGACTTTCATTTAATTCAATTAGCTTTGTAGAACGCATTTTACTTTTATTTCATTAAATTAGCTTTGCTGAATCTATTAAACTTTCATTTGATTCAGAAAGCTTTGCTTGAATGTGTTTGACTTTTATTTGATTCAATTAGCTTTATAGAATGCATTTAGCTATCATTTGATTCAAAAAGCTTTGTTTGAATTTGTTTGACTTTCATTTGATTCAATTAACTTTGTTTGAATATGTTTAACTTTCATTTGATTTAATTAGCTTTGTTGAATGTTTTGACTTTCATTTGATTCAAAAAGCTTTGTTTGAGTGTGTTAGACTTTCATTTTATTTATATAGCTTTGTTTAATTGTGCTTGACTTTCAATTAATTCAATTAGCTTTGTAGAATGCATTAGTCTTTAATTTGATTCAAACAGCTTTGTTTGAATTTGTTTGTCTTTCATTTAATTCAATTAGCTTTGTTTCAATGTGTTTGACTTTCATTTAATTCAATTAGCTTTGCTTGAATGTTTTTTACTTTCATTTGATTCCTTTAGCTTTGTAGAATGCATTTGACTTTCATTTTATTCAATTAGCTTTGTTGAATGCATTTGACTTTCATTTGATTCAATTAGTTTTATAGAATGCATTTGACTTTCATTTGATTCGAAAAGCATTGTTTGAATTTGTTTGACTTTCATTTGATTCAATTAACTTTGTTTGAATGTGTTTGACTTTCGTTTGATTCAATTAGCTTTGTTGAATGCATTTGACTTTCATTTGATTCAAAAAGCTTTGTTTGAATGTGTTTGACTTTCATTTGATTTAAATAGCTTTGTTTAATTGTGTTTGACTTTCATTTGATTCAATTAGCTTTGTAGAATGCATTAGACTT